CCAGGGCCTGGGGCGGGAGGGAGCGGGGGTAGCGGGAGGGCCTCCTCCCGCGCAGGCGCAGCGCCCGGTCGGGCTCGCGTGGGGCGGCCGCGGCCATGACGCAGGTCCGGGCGGGCGCGGCGCCCCCGGCGCCCCCCGGAGCCCGAGGCGCCACCCACTTCTGGCGCGCGTGCTGCCCCGAATGCCGCGTGGAAGTTCGCGGCCCGGGCGCTTCTGGGTCGCGGCCCGGCGGCGGCGCGGGCGGCTGGGGCCTCGGGGGGCGCTGACCCCCAGTCCGAGCCGGCGAGCCGGGGCGTCCCGGCGCTGGCGGCCGCTGTCCTGGGCGCCTGCGAGCCCCGCTGTGCGGCGCCCTGTCCCCTGCCCCGCGCTCAGCCGCTGTCGGGGCGCGGGCGCCGGGGGGCGCGGGCGCGCGGGGGCGCCGGTCCGGGGACGCCGCCGCCGCCGCGAGTGGATCCGGAAGGGCAGCTTCATCACAAGCCCGCGCACGGCTGGCTTACACCCCGACGCCAGGGTCCGGCCTGGGTTCTCCTACGTCTGCGGGTGAGTCCCCCCCACACCCCCGCCAGGAGCCGTGCGCGCGGCCTCCCTCCCCCCCCTTCCTCCGGACCCCCGACCCCTGCGAGCAGTCCCCTCCCCAATCCTGCGCTAGCTCTCCCGCCCCCCGGACCCCCATCTCCAGCCCGGCGCCCGGCGGCTGCCCCCACCCGGAGCGCCTGGGGTCGGTTCCCAGGCGGGTCACGTGGGGGGCGGAGAGGGCGCGGGGGGCGCGCATGGCGCGGGTGCACCGCCCCCCACCTCGGATGGGGCGGGCGAGGCCGAGAGTGACAAGCGGCCGTAGTGTCTCTGCCGCCGGAGCCCCTGGACGCTGTTCACGGGTGACGAGCCGGCCCCGAGACCCTGGCCCTGCGGTGGGCGGTGTCCGGGAAGGGGTGTTTGGAAGGGGGCTGGCCGCGGGACCAGACCCCAGGATTCCAGAGGGGGGCTGCAGGGACTTCCACGGTGGCCCAAAGAAGCGGCCTTTGTGTTATTTATCCTGGATTTTTTTTTTTTTTTTTTTTTTTTTTTGAGACGGAGTCTCCTCGTGTCGCCCAGGCCTGGAGTGCGAGTGGCCGGATCTCAGCTCACTGCAAGCTCCGCCTCCCGGGTTCCCGCCATTCTCCTGCGCCTCAGCCTCCCGAAGTAGCTGGGACTACAGGCCGCCGCACCTCGCCCGGCTAGTTTTTTGTATTTTTTTAGTAGAGACGGGGTGTTCACCGTGTAGCCAGGATGGTCTCGATCTCCGACCCTCGTGATCCACCCGTCTCAGTGCCTCCCAAAGTGCTGGGATTACAGGCTTGAGCCACCGCGCCGGGCTTATCCTGGATTTTATGATAAATGAACCTTTTCAAACACGCGGGGAAGGCGGGCGCGTGGACACAGCGCGCCTCCACCTAGGACTGTAACCTTCACCTCTGCTGATGGGTCTGCCCCCTCTGTGGTTTTTGATAAACTGTGTGAAGTCACCTGCAGGGGTGACAGGGCCTTGCATAGTCCCCCGTCTTTTGAGAGAGCGGCTGTCCTACAGCTGCAGTCATTACGGTGTCTGGGAAAATGATGGGCCATTCCTGCACGCCCCTGCTGGTGGGGTAGTGCTCCCTGCTCCCAGCTGGCCTCTGCAGCCAGGAACGTTAGCCTGTGTTCCCACTGGGTTGTGTCTGTGCTTTTCTGGACACTGAGTTCAGTGGGGTCCCTCCCCCTACTCTGGGTTCAGTGGGGTCCCTCCCCCTACTCTGGGTTCAGTGGGGTCCCTCCCCCTACTCTGGGTTCAGTGGGGTCCCTCCCTCTACACTGGGTTCAGTGGGGTCCCTCC